TTTAGATTTATTATAATTTTTTAAATAAAAAGATAATTATTTTAGTAAATTTAATAAAAAAATTTAATTATTAAGAGTAAATGAATTTTAAATATTAAAAATTTTAAAATTATATTTAAAATTATATATAATAGATAAGATTTATATATAAATACGTTAAGATATGAACACACTTATTGTAAATATTTTATATTTTAAAATATTCTATTTGTATATTCTATACCTTAAAATGGTTTTTTTTTGTAAATACTTATATATAAGTTATTGTACATACAGTATTATTCAAGAAAACAATAAACATTTCATCAAATTCTTCTTTATCTTTTCTGTTTCTAACATGGTATCAAATTTATAACTTCTTAATTCTTTTCTCTTATCATCACTATTTAGTTTTTGGAGTTGGATTTTCAAATCCAATCCAAATCTAAAACTTTGTTGTTGGGATCTCTTCCCCTACAGATTAAATTATTTATCCTCGATTCCCATGCCTTTTTTGCAATATTTTGTTGGTTTGTTGTTTCGATCTTGACATCTATTTTTTCATATTTTTAGAGTTTTTCAGTATTGTGAGTTTTACTGATTCTATGACGAGTTTTGAAAGAATCATAACTCATCTTGCTACTGCTATGGTTGCCAAAGAAGTGATAGACCAACTTAATGTCAACCTTGAATCCCTAAAACAAGTGATATTAAATCTTTTTAATGCTCTTATTGCTTTATCTACTGCTCCAGGTACCAAACCTTAGTATTTTGATTCAGATTATTGTATCCATATGTCTTCAATTAAATCTTATTTCTCTTCAATGTCACCAAATAATTTGTTTCCTGATATTTATTCTGCTAATGGTTCCTCTATGAATCTTAGTCACATTAGCAATATTTCTACAAAGTCATTGACTTTACCAAATGCCCTCTTAGTTCCAAAACTTAGTTATTGTCTCCTATCTATTGGTCAATTATGTGATCTTCGTCTTGAAGTAACATTTTTTGCTCATGGTTGTTGTGTGCAGGACCCACGGATAGAACGACTTCTTGGAATTAGTCGCAAGGTGGGGTGTTTGTTTGAACTCAACTATCTGCACATCGCTGATCATAAAATGGATACACCATCATTTCTAAATGATCGATTCATTCAAACCCTGCTTTGTGCTATTGAATTAGAGTCTTTGCAAATTTCATACCAACAAATCTTCCAAGCCTATGTTGTTACTAACATTTCTCCTCTTCATTTGTGGCACTCATGGCTCAGACATACCTTAGTAGGTAACTTCGTCCACTTATCTCTCATGGTTTATTAGGATTTGTTCCGAATGAATATTTGCATTGTGTGTCATGTCAATCTGCAAAACAACTAGCTTTATCTTTTTCTAGTAGTCATTCTCTTTCTTCTGCTTCTTTTGATCTCGTGCGTTCTGATGTTTGGGGTCCATCTCCAACACCAACCATGGGGGGTTCTAGGTACTTTGTGTTATTTATTGATGATCATACTTCTTTTACCTAGATATATCTTATGAAAAATCACTCTGAGTTATCACAAATTTATATTGATTTTGCTACCATGGTCAAAGCTCAATTCTCTAAAATGATCAAAGTTTTGAGAATTAACAATACTACTAAATATCTTAGTATTAAACTTCAATCTTTTTTTAAAGAACAATGTACACTGACACAACAATGTTGCCCTTACACTTTTGAACAGAATGAGCAAGCCGAACACAAACACAGACATATCCTTGATTATATTCGTGCTTTACTCATTTCGTTTTCTTGTCCAGAGTGCTTTTGGGTTGAAGCTGCTCTTATAATTGTTCATCTCATTAATCGAAATCCATCCTTAGTGATAAATAATAAGCCTCCATATGAATATTTACATGGTATTTCTCTTGCTTATGATACTCTTAAGGTTTTTTGTTGTACTTGTTTTGTTCTTCTTCCGCCTCATGAACATAACAAGCTAGAGCCTAAAGCTCAATTATGTTGTTTTTTGGGTTATGGGATTACACATAAAGGATATCGTTGTTGGGATCCTATGTCACAAAAACTTTGAGTCTCACGTCATGTTGTCTTTTAAGAACACACTATGTTTTCCTTGTTATTAAACTTCCAGGTGTCATCTTTTGATCAACTTTCATTTTTTACTAATCCTTCTATTGAGCTATTCCCTAGTGATTCTGATGCAAGTACATTTGATGAGTTCTACAATGCCTCACCACATGTTCCAACTAATTCTAGAGAAGATGATCTGCCTGTTGGTAATGCATTAGATAATTTTGAGCCTTCCTCTACTTCCTCATCTATACCGCTTGTTGATGTTGCATCTGATATTGTTGAGTCTACAAATGAGCTTGTTGTCCCATCCTCAAATCGTCTTACTTGGGTAAGAAATCTTCCCAATTACCTTCGCGATTATCATTGTTTTCCTACTATTACCTCTGTAGATGAACCTCAATCATATTGAGAGGCCTCTACTAACCCTCTTTGGCAACAAGCTATACAAGATGAGTTATAGGCTTTTAAGCACACTCGTACATGGGATTTAATTGATCTCCCTGCTGAAAAGTCTCTAATAGGTTGTAAATGGGTGTACAAGATCCAAACACGATCAATGGTTCTGTGGAGCGTTATAAGGCATGTTTGGTTGCCAAGGGTTTTACACTGGAGTATGGAATAAACTATGAAGAAACATTTGCTCCAGTTGCTCGTCTCATAGCTGTGTGCAATTTGCTTACTATCATTGCTATACGGAGATACAAATTGTTTCAGATGGATGTGAAAAATGCCTTTCTTAATGGTGACCTAGAAGATGAAGTTTATATGAAACCACCTTTTAGGCTTAACCATCCTCCAAACAAGGTATGCTGATTGTGAAGTGCATTATACGGGTTTAAACAATCCCTTCAAGCCTGGTATGCAAAGTTTAGTGCTACTATGAGTAAGTTTGGTTTTGCTTTAAGTCCACATGATACAGCTCTATTCATCCATAAGACTGCTTGTGGTATGGTTCTTTTACTTCTTTATGTTGATGACATGATTATTACTAGAGATGATATCGTTGGTGTTGAGGAGTTAAAACAATTTCTCAGTCAGAAATTTGAGATGAAAGATCTTGGTGTTCTGAGCTATTTTTTGGGGCTTGAAGTCACCTCTTTAGATGATGGCTACCTGCTTTCTTAAGTAAAGTATGCCTCTGATCTTGTTTCTAAAGCTAAACTCAATGATAGCAGAGTGTTTTTATGCCTCTTAAGCCTAATGTCAAGCTTACACCTATGGATGGCTCTCCACTTTCTGATCTTATTTGCTATCGATAATTGGTTGGTAGCCTAGTTTATCTTACCATGACACACCCTGACATAACATATGCAGTTCATATTGTTAGTCAGTTTATGGCTGCTCCTCGCTCCACTCATTATGCAGCAGTACGTAACATTATTTGCTATGTGAAGGGAATATTGTTTCATGGACTTCACTTTTTGGCTCACTTTTTTGCTCACTCATCTCTTGAACTTCGTGCATACTCAGACGCTGATTGGGTTGGAGACTCTAATGATCGTAAATCAATCACCAGATATTATCTTTTTCTTGGTGATTTTTTAATCTCTTGGCATAGTAAGAAGTAAACAGTTCCATCACATTCTAGCACAAAGGCCGAATATCGAGCACTTGAGAACACCACATCAGAGTTACTTCACTTACATTGGCTACTAGAAGATATGGGTGTTCCTCAACCACCTGCTACTAATCTTTATTGTGACAACCAGAGTGCCATATAGATTGCTTATAATGATGTCTTCCATGAACGCACTAAACACATTGAGGTTGACTATCACTTTGTTCGCCATCATGTTGCACAAGGAACTATTCATTTGGTTTTCATTGGCTCTGTTGATCAACTAACAAACCTTTTCACCAAGGCTCATTTTCCTAGATGCTTTCGTACTCTTCTTTCCAAACTCAAGTTTGTTTCATCATAACAACTAACTTGAGTTTAAGGAACCGACTTGAGTTTGAGGGAGGATGTTAAGATGTGAACACATTTATTGTAAATATTTTATGTCTTAAAATATTCTCTTTGTATACTTTATACCTTAGAATATTTTTTTTGTAAACATCTATATATAAGTCATTGTACATGCAGTATTATTCAAGAAAACAATAAACATTTCTTCAAATTCTTCTTCTTTTCTATTTCTAATAGATGCCTATTAAAAAAAAGTTATACTCAATTTTGAGGTCTTAATTTTGTAGTCTATGCACATAAAAAAATCATAAAATTTGAAACAAAACTAAAATCAACAAAATCAAACATCCTACCTTAAAAAAATTATAATGAAACAATCATTTAATCAAGAAGACAACAAACCACTAATGTTAAAATTAATAAAAATTTAGCTAAATTAGTATCTATTAATATAAAAATTTTGATTTAAAATGGTTAAGGATGAATTTATATGGTTACATCACCAATGACGTGTACGGATCCACATCAGCAATAGCCCACAGCACTCATTTTCCATATTGGACATGCATTTCCTATTTTCTATTAATCGCTACAAAGGAGTTGACATCGCCAGCAGCAGCGCCCGACATTATTCTCTTGTACATCGCCAAGAGTGGCATTTACTTATTTTATTGAGAATGATACAAACATGTTTTACTTTAGCAGTATTCCCTTACACATGGCCAGACACGACCACATTATCTGTACAACATGGCTAGGCATTTTTGACAGTCATGTCCCTCACAGCGATGTTTGCTACTACATATTTTGACTCTCAACAATGGATAAAAAGCCTATTTTGCTGCATGACTCTCATTAATAGATAATGGGCTGATCTTATTATATCTACATAACTCCCAGTAATGGACAAAGGGTTAGATTTACTATCTCATTTAGCCTCTAGCAATAGGCAAAAGGCTACACATTTCTATATATATCTTCATTTCACCGGCTCCCGACAACGGACAAAGGGTCAGATTTTTACATATTCTATTTCATTGGCTCCTGGAAATGGACAAAGAGTCAGTGCAACTCGATAAGATTAGCGTGAGGCTAATAACAGTTGCAACCCTGCAATCGTATGGGATGGCTATCCTCCAACGATAAAAATCCATCAAGTAGCCGCCGATGGTCCCTTGGTGGTCACCCGTGCATGGTGATGTGGTGCCCAACAGACAATAACAACCAGGATCACCCTCTGATGGTGCGGGTACGATAAGAAGGGCTAGTGTTTGTCAGTGGTATCACACCTTATCATATCGGAGGCCATGGATGCGGCTGGCATTCCCCTCCCATGGAGACAACTCCACCTTTCTTTATACATATTCATCACTATGGTGGAGTTTGGTCTAACGAGATTTACCCCTTCGCAACTTGGCGGATTAGTGGGAGTGCTTTTCTGATTCCACATAGTTCATGCTTCAGCCATGGGCAAAGATAGCCACTGTTGTCTCTTTGGCTATGGGGAAGCTATGCATGGCTGACCCCGCAATACATGCATCACATGGCCGGAGGTCATGCACGCAATCGCTCTTCTATACAAAGGGACAAAATTGCTGATAGTCGGTAATTCTGACTCATAACACATATTTTCTATGTCTTACGTGTAAGCAGGTATCGCCGGCTAGCGAAGCTTGGCTCGAGACAACGATATTGTGGTGCACACCCATACCATTTATTCCTTATTCTGGTGCAATGCCAGTTATGCACGATAGTATTGTAACGATGCCGGCCATGGCTAGAGCAGCAAATGTTCATTCACATAGTCCCCTTCAACACATAAGGGAGTTTCCTTCTTTGCTACATATGCCCATGCGTTTCTTATTCTTAAATATCGGAACGTACATTCATGTATGCTTTGTTGTTATTGCAAATAAACACAAGCCCATGAATCCAAGCTCATGGGGATTATTCGGGATGGCAGGCATGGGTGGACGAGTACTGCCTATCTAGCGAAGCAAGGCATCTACACCAGCGAAGCAAGGCATCTACACCAACGAAGCTTGGCGTTGATGGTGCTGCCCGACTTTGCCAGAAAGAGGCTAGGTGGCATAAGCATGGAAATGAACTTAATTCATGGAATAGTGCAATTAGATGCTAACTGAAGACTGGAAATCCCTCCAGATGCTAACTAGAGGTGTTGTCTTGGTCACCATCAGCTACTTGCAACCATATTTAATGCAAGGGTGGCTACACAAGTTCCATAACCTTGGAAATTGTTGTAAAAGATTGTTATCTGCTAGCAAAATCTTCCAAAATCTTGTGCAGAACTTGAGAAACTTACCAAATCTTGTGCAGATTTTGTTTTTGCCAACTGCACTCAAGCACCTCTCCAAAGATGGGATTTCGTATGACTGGGGACATTGCAAAAAATGTACAATTTCTAGTTTCTTCGCCAAAACCAACAAAATTTCCCTGGGACTATTGGGCAATTCATAATACCACTGTCATAGAGCTGCCAACAGTGCTTGGAACCACAAAAAATTCGACAGCTCACGCCAATCTTTCTACACACCTATAAGCTATCAACCAAAAATTACAATAATACCACTGCATATATATATATATAAATTATTGACTCTTCATTTTCAAGAACACACAGACACAGAAAAAGAAAGACGCATGCAGCACAACAACAGACTTGCACACGAAAACTCTCCTTTTATCCTCCAAAGAAAAATATATCCCATCTTCAACCCACTGCTCTGCATGCACGAATCATCCATAAGCCACCATTTCTCTCGGGTTTCCAAAGTCTTCGGTTCTGCAGAGTATTTTCCAGAGTATTTTCCGTAGAGTATTTTCCAACTCTAGAAAGTAGTTTCCAGCTTTGCAAAACATTTTCCTGCATTGTAGAATATCATCCAACACTACAGAATATTTCCAGATTTGCAGGATATTATGGCAGTGGAACAACATGCTGCATTTTCAGCTTCCCAATAGTCCTTCTTGAGCATCAGACGACCAAGATCGCAAGGTTAGCATAAAAAATGGGATCAAGTGTTCCATTTGTAAGCTCCTGAGCAGTCATCCTCCCTTCTCCCATCACCACTCTCAAGTTTATCCCTTTTTGTCCCTAGAAGAACCTCAAGATTATAGTCACTGCACTCTTCATTTTCAACATGAGGATCGTTCATTATAGAGTAAAAATCTACACTAGGAATGAAAGAGGTCACCTTTACTGTCATTATTATTATGTTACGATGATTTATGCATAATTGTGATTCTCAAGTTGTGATTTCGAACCATACGTATTTCACACCTTTGTTGCCCTTCCTTAACAACGCACAACTTTTCCTTGTCATATTTTTGATAGTTGCGTAATAATCTTGAATCCTCAGAATCCCACTATTGCTGCCCAACTTTATTGGCTTAGCTGAAGGATTCATTTTTTAAAGGCTTTTGCTGGAAAGTGCATTGCGAGATATTATCACCCAACAGAATGGGATGACTCGTAACACGTAGCCTCTTGCACATGAGACGGGTGCTACCGAAAGAACCCTCCATTTTCTTAGGTGGCATCCTAATCAGCTTCCATATCATCATCATTGCAAACTCATCCATCTACATCACCAACACCC